TTCTTCTTCTTCTTCTTCTTCTTCTCTCGATCCTTTCACTCCACCTTCTCCTTTGTTAAAGGCAACACGATGATTCCGTCCCCTTTGTTCGCGATATTAAAGTACGTCAAGCGCCGTAGCGACGACTGCGTTCTACTCTTCTCTTCTCTTCTCTACTCTTCTCTTTCGCGAGTAGAAGTGTCAATTGCGTTCATTGTTCGCTCATTGAGCCATAGGATCGATCGTTTCGTCTCTCTTTTATTCATTCTTGCTTTCTTTCTTTCTATCTATCTATATTTATTTATTTATTTATTTTTATTTTCTTCCTTCTCTTTTTTTTTCGCGAATGAACGAATGAACGAATGAGAGAACACTCGGTCGTGGTCTTTCCGATTTTTATCTCCCCCCCCCCCTTTCCACCTGTTTTTCTGTCTTTCTCTTTTTCTTTTTCCTTTTTGTGTTTCCCCCCTTTTTTTTCATCATCCCTTTCCGTCTGGCTAAAAAACCTAGCAGGTATATAGAGGTACTTCCGTATTACTATCTCTACTTATATAGAGAATAAAGGTTCATAAGGTGAAAGAAAAACAGCAGGGGTTTCTTTTTTTTTTTCTTTTTCTTTTTTTTTTTCCGAGCATTTCGAGTATTTCATGTATATTTTCCCAATTTTCACGTGTCTCATTTCTATGTGTGTGTCTAGGTGTGTATGTTCGTCTGTGCGTTTATTAAATATAATATATATATATATATATATATATTATATTTAATAAACGCACAGACGAACATACACACCTAGACACACACATAGAAATGAGACACGTGAAAATTGGGAAAATATACATGAAATACTCGAAATGCTCGGAAAAAAAAAAAGAAAAAGAAAAAAAAAAAGAAACCCCTGCTGTTTTTCTTTCACCTTATGAACCTTTATTCTCTATATAAGTAGAGATAGTAATACGGAAGTACCTCTATATACCTGCTAGGTTTTTTAGCCAGACGGAAAGGGATGATGAAAAAAAAGGGGGGAAACACAAAAAGGAAAAAGAAAAAGAGAAAGACAGAAAAACAGGTGGAAAGGGGGGGGGGGAGATAAAAATCGGAAAGACCACGACCGAGTGTTCTCTCATTCGTTCATTCGTTCATTCGCGAAAAAAAAAGAGAAGGAAGAAAATAAAAATAAATAAATAAATAAATATAGATAGATAGAAAGAAAGAAAGCAAGAATGAATAAAAGAGAGACGAAACGATCGATCCTATGGCTCAATGAGCGAACAATGAACGCAATTGACACTTCTACTCGCGAAAGAGAAGAGTAGAGAAGAGAAGAGAAGAGTAGAACGCAGTCGTCGCTACGGCGCTTGACGTACTTTAATATCGCGAACAAAGGGGACGGAATCATCGTGTTGCCTTTAACAAAGGAGAAGGTGGAGTGAAAGGATCGAGAGAAGAAGAAGAAGAAGAAGAAGAAGAAAGAGAAGAAGAAGAAGAAGAAGAACAACAACAAGGGTAGAAAAAGAAAGAACGAATGAGATAGAGTAGTATATGTGTGTGTGTGTGTGTGTGTGAACGAGCAAGAAAGATAGAAAATACAAGAGAAGAGGGTAGTAAAGTGTGTGGAAGAGAAAGAGAGAGAGGGAAGATGATAGGAGGAAACTCACCTGCCCCCACTTCAGTATCGTTTCTTCATGGCACCACCACCATAGGTAGTGTGTGGCAACGTACTACAGTCTTTACCCATCTGGCTGTTGCCAACGTTGTAGCACGGCCTCGTTCCATCAAGCACCACCACCCCCTTTTCCTTTTGCACCCATTCCCACTACCCCTACCACCACCACCACCACCACCTATCTCTCTCGTTTCTTCCTCTTACTCTACTCTTTCATCCCCCTTCTCCCTTTATACTCCTCTCCTACTGAGTTCCTCTCAGACCTTAGGAAAACTCATACCCCCAACCCTCGATTCCAATAAGGCTCCCTCGTTCCACACTTCTCTCACCCCTTTGCACCCTTTTCTCCCTTTCCTCCTATTTCTACTCTTCTCTTCAGTAATACTCTCTCTCTCTCTCTTTCTCTTTTTCTCGTTCCTTCTCATCCCCCTCCCCCCTTTAACATCAGTGCACCCGGATTCCGCACTTTCTACTCTTCTACTTCTACTACTACTACTACTACTATTACTACTACTACTACTACTACTACTACTTTGCCAAGCCGAAGGCCCCCGTGAGCTTTTACCGCGGTATTGTTGCTATCGATTCGCCCCTGGAAACGTGTTTTTCTTCGGATATTTCGTGGCTTTACCCCTGCACAGGAGGACCGACCATTCGTTCGTTCATTCGTTCGTTCGTTCGTTCGTTCATACAACCAACCATGCTTTATACCCTCTTCTTCTTCTTCTTATTCTTATTCTTCTTCATCTTATTTTTCTTATTCTTATTTTTACTTCTATTTCTTATTCTATCATGGATACCAAATCTGTATAGGGCTTTTGGGTATTAGTGCTTTGTTCATTATTTTGAAATTTTCTTATGGATCGATCACATTTTGTTCCTATTTTTCTTTAAGTTTCTATCTCTTTTTTTTAATTATTTATTTATTTATTTATTTGTGTTGATATTTAGACATTAAAATAATGTTTATATGACTATTTCTTTTTTATTAGATAATAAAAATAATATATGCATAAAAATATTTGTCATTCATTTTAAATTTATTTCTTATTTAAAAGAAATGAAAAGAATTGTAGTGTTATGATGGCCATCTTTAACCGGAGATTTCAACGAATGGTTTGGTTTGGTTTGCTTTAGTTTGGTTAACATCGTGTCACTGTTTCGTATATTCGAACGCGAACGAAAACGTGTTGTTATCGATCGGGTTCGTCTCGTTATCGGTACTATCAAAATAATGCGACTATTAATAGAATTTTAATTTAATTAACACCCCCCACACATCATTTCTTTTTTTAGTTGAAGATTTTTGTTCTAGGTAAAATAATTAGATTTCAACGAATTTCCATGGGAGAGAAAAAAAAGAGAAGAAACAAAAACAGAAAAATTAAACAAATGGACTCATTTTTGTTTTTAAAAATATGATAATTGCAGTTACTTTTTTGTTTCTTTTATAAATAAAAATAACGTCACACATTCTTATATCATTGGTAGACAATGTTTGTCTCTTCAGCAGGAATATTTGATAAGAAAAATAAAAATAGGAAAAGAATAGGAAAAAAAAAAGTCAACAACGATCATTGCGTATTACTGCGTTTGATCGTCTCCAATCGTCAAATAACTGAAGGAGATGACATCTCGGTTTGAATCAACGATTAACAACGGCGAGTGGTCCAAGCAAGGTTTTTGCTTTACGACGACGATGACTACGACGACGACGACGACGACGACGACGACGACGACGTTATGGTTGTTGACGTGCATTGTTCTTTGGCAACGGATTTGCGGAGAAGAAAGAAGTACGACACCCTGAACTCTATCACAGTCTGCTCTCGAACGAAGGAAAAAGAAAATGAAAAACCTACGGGGCAAGTGGTGATGGTCGTGGTGGTGATGATGGTGGTGGTGGTGGTGGGTATTAGCTTTTCGTAGAAAAAAAAAAAAGGAAAAAAGGAATAGGAACGGAACAATGGGATCTATTTTTCTCGCACCTAAGCAAAGAAAAAGAAAATCTATCGTCGTTCTTTGAACGTAAACCCCATGCCATGCGAACGAATTTTCTTCTATAGCCATACACACATACACACATATATATATATATATATATAATATATTCGTAGAGAAACTTTTGTCAAATTTTTCTTAGAAATTCGTATTGGACGATGATCGTGCTTGCGAATCGCGTGTTTGTCAGTTTATTGGGTTGTGTATAAATAGGTAGATAGGT